AGTATCTTTAGGAGATGTCAACTATATGCATGTCCATCTGATGCAGCACAACTTGGGGTTCCCAGCAACTGGAAGGACATAAGATTATCTATACTACCTTGTTTTCCTTCTCGAGTTAGCTCAAATAAATAGTATTTTAAGCAATGCTATAAGGAGTATGAATGCCTTTCTTACTGGAATCATAACGAACACTAGCCCTGGAGCGCAGCCTCCAGAGCAAGGAAAGACCATGAGACAAATGACTGATATGATGTCCTGTGTGAAACCTCTCCCCATGGGCAGGTATGTATCAATTATCTGGCGCAGGCTGGTTTGCTCCCAGACTTAGACATTGCTAAAGCCTTTCTGTTGTGTTTGAAGTAAGTCGTAAAGTTCTGTTTTGTGTTAGAAGCAGTGTAATATCTTGAACTTTAGACTTTGCTCTTATGTAGCTAGATCAAGAGCCTAAAAGGCCAAACCATTTAGGGAACAAGTAACTTATTTACAGTTTACTGTTAAAGCCCTGTAAACAACCCCTCTCCCCCACACCCTGCAAAAAAAACAAAAAGAAAAAAAAAAGTAAACCTCTGCTTGCAATATCTCTGTAACCCCTGCAATATCTCTGTAAATAGTTCTTTTACCAAAGAGCCAAGCTACCCTTACAAGCAAGGAAGCAAAGCACCTGAGCCTAGAATATCACAACAAATGAAAATGTGGGTTTCCTGAGTGTCCCCTCGCAAAATGAAGTGGCAGTAAGATAAAATATAATCTTTTTCACAAAATCAAGCAGCAGAAGTGGGAATTAACACTTGTGTTACAGAAACAGCATTTACACATCACTCTGGAGACATAACAATTTTCTGAATGAAAGGGAAGAGTTTTGTGGACATGCTGTTTCATGTCTTTATTAATGATGTGGTCGATGGGACAGGGTGCACTCTCAACAGTTTTGCAGATGATACCTAACTTGGGGTGGGGAGGAGGGGAAGAGCCTGACATGCCAGAGGGCTGCTCCTCAAAGCACCTCACCAGGCTGGAGAAATGGGCTGACATGAACCTCTTTCTGCCCTAGCTCTGCAGCTACAAAGTAATAAAAAGGCCCCAATGCATGGTGCTACCAAGGATGTAGCAGCTGGGATACAAGGAAGACATCGAACTGGGTCACAAACTATTAGCAAGTATCATGAAATCAGCACAGCTGAGTGCAACCAACTATTTGCTTTGTTTCCAAACTACAGAGTTGAATATGAAGATAACATACTGTCTAGAAAGTCGTAAGCCTTATCCACATGCCCCTCATTTGTGCCCCTCAGTTCACATGACTTTTCTTTCTCTCTCCATTATTTAAACTGAATCAGTAGGATCACAAGATTGGAGGTTATTTTCCATGATCCTCTTTTACAAGATGATGACTACTTGCCAAAACCATGTCTAAGGCAGTGTCACTTACTAGCTTAGTGACTAATTCAGTTAACAAATCTCCCCATCATATCAGGAACAATAGATTCTTATCACTGTAAGTAATGTTTGTTTTCCAGTCTCTACCTGAGAAGCTGAAAAGTCTTCCATAATCACACAGTCTCTCACTATAGTTATAACTCTAATACCAAGGTGCTCTGTGAATGCAATCATACAGAGGTCAACAAGACCCCTCCCATCACACCTGCTTGTAATTCCTCTAAGAAGAGATTGTTGAGCCAAGAAATTGTGCTTTATCCCCCCCATCAGTACTTACTCATCAGTTTTACACTTACTTGTCACGCTTGTCACTTGTGACTTTTTCTTGTGTTTCTACCCTTCCCGAATGCATGTCCTTCGATAGCTGTGCTCTATTCATTATTGGCAATCAATCGTGATCTATACCTCTCAGCCACTGTACAACATAGTACCAGGAGCTGTAGTTCCTTCTGTATTGCTGATTACTTGCTTTAATGAACAAAGGCCATATCTGTCTGACATTATTCCATTTCCCACCTGGACTGACAGGTCTTCAACGTCACCTACCTTTCCATTACTTGAATTAACGTTACTACTTTCTCCTTATTACTAAGCCTTCTACTCACTGATGCTTTTTTATCCCTTAACTTTATTTTTGTCTATCTAATTTTTCATTTTCTTATGGAATGATGTAAAAAGGCTGGGCAAATAAGACAGCTCTGCTCTAGAAATGTCTGAGCAAAGATTAAGCGCTGTTTACTGCAATAATTATATGAAATTGTTCCTACGCTCTCAAAGGCTGTCTGTTCAATAGCAGGAGATAGGGATCAGTAACTCAGGAAGGACCTTCCTGGACCACGTTCAGGAATAATGCAATGGCAATGCTTATTTATTGGCTTCATCATGCTACAGCACTTGAATATTTGAAGTGGTGGGGGAATGGAAAAATGGGAGCACAGAGGAGAAAGAAGAAAGACTATACAAGCTTATGTAAATAAGGCTGTAAGAATGAGAGCCCATAATACTTTACCGACACATTACGAAAAAAAGAGAAAAATAGTAAAAAAAAGGAAAAATTTATTCAGCTATTGGTTTAGTTTCACTGGTCAGTTTTATGCCTTGTTTACACATGTAGACAATCTAAAACCTGGTATCAGGACATGCCCTGAAGCTCAGAGTGAGCAGCTAGCCTACAGCTGAGCGGGACAGCAGCAATAGGCAGAGCTGAGGCACGCATAGGCCACCTAATGGCCCAGCGTGCAGAAGGCCCTGCGCTAGCTCCGACCACCACCACCAGGCATCCAGGAAGTCATCAAGACTTACTGACAGCACCTGTTTGCACTAGCAAGGCTAGGAGGGGCATTGACCAAGTCAAATAAGCTAATGAAAGACAACGCATGGCAAAGCAAAGGGCAGGCACAGGTCTGGACTCCCAAGCACATGCTGGCGTCCGTGCTGGACAGCCCCACTGTGAGGAAGAACCAGGGTTTCTGTCCCCTCAGAGGGCTTCCCCAGCACTGGCAGCCCAGGCTGAAGGCCACCACGGAAGATACAGCCTCGGCCTTGCTCTGACCAGCTGCGAAGCTCAGCTGGCCACATCTCAGGTGCCTTCCAGTTGCCGGGTGGCAGTAGCCCTGCAGAGGCGCCTTGCGCAGCTGTCCCGTCAGTGGCAAGACTCAACCCTTGCCGAGCCTTCCTTCCGCTCC